AAGCACGTCATCGTATCCAGGTTCAAGGCATATTTCTGGTAGATGACGGAGAACTGATACTTTTCCAGGAGAGCAGAGTCTAGCAAAGCCAACTGAGGCTCAGGATTTGCTGCGCAATTTTGGTCTGGAAAGCATCAACTCAGATCAATTGAGCCTGGCAGCTAAATGCCAGACCAATCAGCAAACTATAAGGAGTGGTTGAAATGATGAGGAGGGCTCTCAAATCTCCTAGACCTTGTCAACCTCAATTTAGACTAGGCTTTGTTGATGAAGGATAAAACATTATGTTGCAGTAGTATGGCCTGCTTCTCACCTCAGAAGTATTCACAATCCTCAGTGGTGAATTCAGAAGAAATGTTATTTTTTATAATTTCATATCTTGTTTTATTATGTAGCCACAAGGTATTCCATATTATTTATTTTTCATTGACAGAGTTCCTGTTCAATCTTTTAGCACAAGTCAAATTCAAATCTCAAGACTTACAGACAAGTCTATGTCAGATCTTACTTAAGAAAAAATTTTTTAACTGCTTGTGAGCTGAGAAAAACCCTGTCTATATTTTGCTGGACATAAAGGTTAAAATAGCAACTGGTTCAGTTTCAATTTCACAGGCCACAACAAGGCAGGAATAAAATGAATGGATTGATTATACCAGGTACTAGGTGCAAGGACAGTGCACCAGAAGTAAACAGTCCATCATACAGTGAAATGGCCAAAAATTATAAAGAAAATATCATAATGATGTCAGTATCATGAAAAGGTTTCACTTCTTACAACTTCTCAACAATTAGGTCTGAAGTAAGTCGGGCCCAAGTATTGATTTTTTGTAACACAAGTTTGACAGTCTAAGGTCTCAAGCTCTGACTAGCTTAGGTCTGAATGAGAGCACTGATCAATTTGTACTTTCAACTCAGAATGGCACTTGCAAATGACTTTTGTGCCTGGACAGACAATGTAGAGCAGGGGTTTTCAACTAATTGTGACCCAGGAACCACCATTGTACCTAACTGGTAAAACACACTGGAAGCATTTTCTATGCCCGTCTCACACTGCAGATATCAAATGTGGCAGCCCACACTGAATCTGTGAGATGTGCATCTCCCATAGAACCCTCACGTTTTTTACACTTCATGTCTATTTTTTTCCTCTCCTCTACGTTTAGTGAAGCGTAGTCTCCACAGTCAGCTGTTTAAATCATACATCCTGGTTTCTGTTTCTACCAGTATGTGTTACGACTGATCAGGCTGCTTGAGTTTCCCTTTCACTTTCTCGCTATGTAACGAGCTGGGGAAAATCAATAAATCGATAGGCTACATAAAAACACGATTTCATCTTGATGATCTTACATGAAAACTATTTTTGCCCAGTACACTTGTGTACTGGAACAGACTCTTTGTCCCACTGTTGTCTTGTTGTCAGATAGACAGCTGTTCTGATGACTTTAAACACTCAGAACACACCACTCACATCTCGCTTTCAGTGTGGATTGAATGGAATCACGTTTCAGTAGCGCTTGCGTCTTGCTTCCACTGTGTTTTACCAGTAAGAAATAACCCAAGGACTACTCTTATGGGGTGGCTACTCCAGATGGGCACTATTGTAATCCTGAACATCAGCTTGGCTTTTCTAAATTTTATTTATTTGCATTAATTGGATTATTCACAAGCCATAAGTAATACATGTAACTGAGTTTATAAATAAAATTAAACAATAAACATTCCTACTCTGAAACTGCATTTTTAAATGCATGTTCAGGGGCCACCTGCAATGCCTTTGCAGACCATCAGGGGGCCACGGACCACTAGTTGAAAACCCCTGATGTAAATGCAGATTTTGTGGGATGACTTTGACTTTAAGAAAGGGCTCCTCAGACAGGTGAGGTGACTACATTTCAAATTAAATGCTCCAGAGTGGAGTAGCACAGTGATGCTTCTCATCAGGCATCCCAAATTCGGAGCAGGGCTCCTGACGGTTTTGACATTGATGGGCTCACTGCTCATAAATATCCTCGAACCAAGATAATTTAGGCACCAGCAAGAGACTGTATTAAATTACCAAATAATAGTTGTGGGACCCCTGTGCTACTTAAGGTCCATTTAATGAAGTCTTTGGCTACTCAAGCGGGTGTGGTCCAAGTGTGACCAGACTGAACGATGTGAGAATGGCACTTGGCTTGACCTCAGCACCCTAAGGAAAGACACACACCTGTTTCAGCTGCTGCTGTGACGGCTGCAGTGAAACAGTGGAGGAATGT